TCCAAATTGACTCATTACAGATATCAGAAAAGGTAATACAACATAGTAGAGCAAAGAGAAGAATAAAAATGCAGAACAGAAGAAAAAGCACTGAACTGAAACTCAGAAAACCTGAGCTGCAGTCTCTCTCTCTAACCCCAAGAACTCAACGCAGAGCAAATCACTACATCTCTGTGGCTCTTTAGGATAATTCAATTTAAGCATTTTATGATTTATAATCTATCCAATTATTTTGAGTATACACAAGTAGTTGAAGAGCTTAATTTTTACAAAATGAACACACCCATGAAACTACCACTCAAATCAAGATATAAAACATTACACCAGCACCCTTCAGGCCTCCCAGTCATAATCATCTTCCTAACCTCTATAAAGGTTATGATTATTCTGACTTCTATCACCACAAATTTGGAATCATACAAGATGTTCTTACTTTTTTGGTATGTGTTCTTTAATGTCATGCTTCTTTCACTCAACACTGTGAGATTCAACCATGCTATTACTTGTAGTAGGAGCTTGCTCTTTTTCACTGTAGAATATTCCATTATGTGAATATACATACCACTACTTTAACCATTCCACTGTTGGACATTTCCATTATTTCCAGATGGGGGCTATTATAAATAACGCTATAAAAATTCTTGTGCATGTCTTCCAGTAAACATATGTATGCATTTCTGTAGAGTATACACCCAAGAGTGGGAGGGAGGGTCATGGGGTATGCATATATCCAGGTACAGTTCTAAGCACTTTACATATACTAATGCATTTACTTCCTATCACAACTCTATGATGTGGGTGCTATCATTATATCCAATTTTTAGAGGAGGAAATGGAGGCACAGAGAAGTCTGTGCTCTTGAGCCAGCTGGCTAATGTTGCCTCTCTGTGAGGTCCAGGGACCGTATCTGCCCTGGGCAGTACATATTCCTAGTACTGGCCACAGTGTCTTATGTAAACGTAATAGGAGCTAAACAAATATTTTTTGAATAAAGTATTAGATAATAACAGGAACATCCCTATCCTCAACAAGCCTTATTATATCTCAAGTGAACTGAAAATTTTATTCTCCATTTTTGGACCTAAAGTGCAAGTCAGATGAGTTATCCCGACTTTTGCCATCTTTAATGCTCTATAGTGTATATGCTATTGAAAAGGAAAATTGCTAAATTGCTAACCACACAAAAGTATCACTCCCAACCCCCTGGATTTTGCCCGTTGAACCTTTAAATACATAAGTCTAGTCCAACAGATGAGAAAACAGACTCAAAAGTTAGGAGACTTGCCCAAGATCAAACTGATGTTGGAAAACTGGCACTAGGTTTCAAGTCTTATGTTAAGGAGCTATTTCCAATTTTGACCAGAATGACAAAGCAGTAGTACTCTGAAACTCTTTTGGGGATAGATAAGTCCTGCTTCAAACTAATGCAAAAAGCAAAGTTATAGATAATAGCATAACTTGGAAGAATTGAAAATACTTATGATTTAAAATTGAGAATCATTAAATTACAAAAGTAACTGAATTAAAAAGTCTTTCAAAGCCCAAGACTGGTACAATTAGCAAGGACAGTTTTAACATAAGTCACTTCCCCAACCAAGGGTATAGAAAACACTATAGAAATGGGACGTATTTGGTCATTATTACTAAGAGATGAAAATCAAAATAAAGTTATCCCCAGCCTTAAATTTGGCAACTCCAAGCAAGTTCTCTGATAACCTACTCCTGTGTACTCCAACAAACTTAAATGAAGACAACTGGAAACTAATTCCATAGAGGTTGTCTGAAGGCATCTCTTTCTCACAAGTACCTTTCTAGCGGTAATATTATATACTCTATTTACAGGACCAGTGTCTGTATCTCTTAAGAAAACTGCTCCTGAGATCACTGCAAATAGGTTTCCTCAAAGCATAACAGAACGAAAAGATTCTACAGAATGTTTCTACAGAAAGAAAACCCCCTACATGATCCAACTTCATCAGGTAAAGATCAAAATTTTTAGAAGTATGAAAATGTTTATCAGTTGCAGGTTCAATTCCTAACCCAGGGAAATAATAATTCACTTCTGGGGTGGGCATTTTCATCTCCTAATTAACCAAGGAAAGGCTAACTAGTTGATTCATGAGATAAATCTATGAAATTTTAATAATTCCTTTTATGGAATCTTCAAAATATGTCCATGTCATTCTAGTCTCCAAAAAATCCTGCCTGTAGTTGAAACGTGAAGATTTCTGATCTAAAAAGGTGTGTGTGGTTTGTTCAGAACTCTGCAAACCACTGAACCAAAGTTTTTAGGACTTAAAAAGCATGTGGTGATTATATGTATCTGTCGTGAACATGCATACACACAGAGTTTGCATCTAAAGAGCTCACTGAAAATGTTAAATTCCCCAACAGAAAGTAGAGCTATGGAATAAATCTCCAAATCACCAGAACTACTAGAAAGAAGTACTTCTGAATGAACCCATCTGGATTAAGCATCCAGTGCGTGACTATCTAGTAATTGGTGTTCTATTTGTATTTAAATGAAATATATAATATAACTTTCAGGTACTCTATTATCCCTGAGGTGAGACTAAATTTTTTATTTATTTTTATTTTTTAAAAAGATTTTATTTATTTGACAGAGAGAGAGAGCACAAGCAGGGGGAGCGGCAGGCAGAGGGAAAGGGAGAAGCAGGCTTCCCACTGCGCAGGGAGCCCGATGTGGGGCTCGATCCCAGGACCCTGGGACCACGACCTAAGCCAAAGGCAGACGCTCAACTACTGAGCCACCCACGCGCCTGAGAGTAAATTTTTTAGATCAGATTATACCTAAGACAAATACAATGCAAAAGTGATAGCAATCTCACCTTCTAGATTCCATGTTTTAGGAAGATAATGTGTAAGAGGTAAATTCCTTTATCAAAAAGAAAAAAAACCCCAACAGAATCCTGTTACTATTGTTTTAAAACAACTAAGTATTGAGTGGAAAGAGGTGAGGAGATAGAGACTTCTGCAACAGACCACCACTTACAAGTGTACAGCGCATTTAACTAACTGTACTGTGTATTAAGTTAAGACAACTTATCTAGGTATCCAGTTTTAACATTCCTTGATTCAATGCCATAGAAAAACATTAGTTTTTAATCTCTGAACCCTACGGACTAGTTCAGAGTAGCAGAAGATTTTTATCTTCGAGACATTAGGGAATTTCATCATTCTTCCAATCAAATCAGTTCCTCTAAAGGGTTAGGACTTTTGCTAATTCAAAATTTTTAATTGGATGAATTTATGGGAGAGAACCAGTCTTCTCAGTGCACCTTAATGATTCTATGTCTACAAAACGAAAATCTTAAACAAATAGTTTTCCATTAATACATTCGTTCCCCAGAAACTACTGGGTTCCTTGTCGCTGTTATTGAAGGTCAATTTTCAAAACCAGTTTAACAAAGACTTATTTCAGATGAGCAGCCTCAGAGAATCCATTTATTATTGCTGTTATCATATAATTACATTTTTATTGCTCCTATCTTGCACTTTCCAATCCTTCTTTCATATAAAAGCAACTACAGAAAAGTGCATGTAGCTAGAAATCAAGTTGTATTCATTAAACAAACAAACAAAACAAACCGTTTTTCCTCCGGCACGTATTTAAAGGAGAGACTGAAGATTCTCTTCCCTTCACAGAATATCCAAAATAACTTATCCTAAGAATGTTATAAACTAATGTTGTTCTGAACTACCATATAAGTAGATTTTAGTTTGTTCTTGGATTATATATCTAATCTTCTCAAAAAATGTGCAGTATTTTAAAACAAGATCTCTTTTAGGGTCAACCCACAATTATCCAGGACCAGAGTCATTCAAGTTAAAAATATTCTTTTTGATTCAACCCAGACTCTAAGTTACTCTCAGCTCTTTAAAGAAGTACATAAGACGTAAAACTAAAGTATTTGCCACTCTGAAAAGATCAAAAAGACTACTTGCAATCCAAGTTTGGTGAGGGAAAGCAGATCATTTGGAATGCATTTATACTTGTAGCTCCCATATTGCTGATAAATGTTACTGCCAAGTTCCTTAAACTGTTCTAAAAGTTATTGCTGCAGTATTGCCTTAGGAAAACTTTGTAATACTTTCAGGGATAATGTCAAACCTACATTTATATCAAATGCCAGGTAATAAGAAATGGAAGGATCACGGAAGGCAAGTTATTTTTTAACTCAAAGGGATCTACCAATTTTTCCAAAAATCAGTATGTATCTAGTCATACAGGAACTGCTCCCCTTTCCCTCTTTTAAATAAGTGAGTTACTTTTTGGCATCTTCTTACTACAACCTTTTCCTTCATTATCTGAAATCCGTGACTCTTTTGCAGATACACTATTTCCTGTGACTGGTTTATTTTCAGTTAGTTTGTATGAGAACTACAACCGGGACTTCCTTTTGAATACCAACTAGCTGTATTTCCTGGGGTTTGAACTCTAGAATCCCTAAATTCTCATAACTATGACTACGTTCACATCTACAATTTGCTCAAAAGCTCTGCCCTTGCAAACAAAAGCTTGTGGTGGTCGAAGGCTCCGCGAGAACACCTCAAGGTGTTGTAGGTCCTGGACCAGCAGCCACCCCACACAAACCTTCACAAAAGCAGCTCCAGGCTCTGCAAGATTAAAACGGGCAAGTAGTGGGAGAAGTCCCGATTCGGCCAACCCTAGCGAACCGGAGCCTTACAAATTGGCCAGACTCATGAGGGGTGCACACAACCGGAGAAGGGGGGGAAAGCCCCTAAAGAGCATCAAGGGTTTAGGGGGAGAAGCAAGTCCAGGGATGCAAGGTGGTGCCCGCGCACGCCTTGGCAACCTAGTTGATGCCACAAGCAGTTATCAATCCAAGCAATAGAGGTCGGTCTCCAGGCCCTCAGGCGCACAGGAGATCGCTAACTCGGGCCGCGGGAAAACGGCTGGGGCTGAAGGAGAGAGAAGCACACGCGCCGCCACCCCCACCCCTCAGCCGGTTGCTCACCGGTGCTGCAGCCCCACGAGTCCCAGAGTGATCACATGCGGCACATCTAGCTGCGTGGGCCACTCTCCTGAGGCGATGCACCCGAATACGCCACATTCCTCTCGGATTCCCAACTCCTCCAGCTCCATGTCGCTGCCGAAAACACGTGGAGAGACCTGCCGCCGCAGCAGGGGCCTGACCACCAACCCGCTGTCCGCTCGGCCCGTACGCCTCAGAGGCTCGCTTCCTTCCCCAGCCGCTCGACCCTCGCTACTGCGGCGGCGCGCGCTTTCCCAAAGCAAGCGTGATTAGCGCTCCCCCGCTGCACACCCTGCCCCGCCCCCTCAGGGTGCACCAATGAGCGAGGAGGGAGGGAGAGGCTCCGTGGCTGAGAGGAGGAGTCACAGAGACCCCTGGGGTGGAGCTAGTCCTCCGCCGGATCCCTATGGGAAACTACTTTTTCTACACATGGAAATCTCCGTTATTTTCTAACACCTAAGACTGGGGTGATGAGAGTAGTAGTGTTAACGTCATTTCTGTCCCAGAGGATGTAAACTTTGTATGGCCCTCCTCAAATGCTTTCCCCCGGCCGTCACCACTTGGTACGCTCCAACCTATGAACCGCTCTCGCAGCGGAGAAAGTAGCGGGTCAGCGAGCCTCTGTAGAATCGGGAGTGGCCGCCAGTGCGCGCCACTTTTCGCCTCTTCTGGAACAGCGCCCGCGCACAGGAGTGAAGGGAACGTCCTGTGTCTCTGCGCCTGCGCGGCGGGAAGCCTCGCGGGTAGAGCTAGCTCGCAGAATCGAAGTTGCTCTTGGGCGGCAGGGACCTCCGGGGTTCGGTGGCGGCTGTGTTGAAAGCGGAGGGCGCGTGTGGGCGCTCAGGAATACTAGGCCTGGCCGGGGGTGTGTCTGCGGGTCGCCTTCCCTCCCCCGCCACGTGAGCCTCTGACCACTCCTCTTTTCCAGAGTCTTGCCAGTCTTCCCAGCGCGGCCGCTGCCCCCAGCCCACGCAGGATAATGGCGACAGCTGAGGGTGAGTAACAGGCATCCCCAGGAATCTGCCGGGGACTCCCTGCCCTCCACGGTCTTCCAGCCGCCGCCTCCTTGCCTGGAGGTTGCGGGCTCGCCGCCGACACCTGCGCGCCCCGTGCGGCCCTGCTGGCAACCTCCTCCCGGGCTGTGCCTGGTCTCCTTGCTGCCGCCCGTCTAGGCCGCAGGGCGGACCGACACGTGGCCCGGGCACAGCTAAGCGAGGCGTAGGAAACCCAGCGCTCCCGGGTCTCGCCGAACTTTCTGAAATAATCGGAACTGGCTCTGGATTGGGGAAAAGAAAGTAGAGGAAGAGGATGATTAGAAAGAGAAATGGCCAGGGGTTGGAGAGGTGCCTGGAAATCATATTGGTAATAGTTATTGCAAAACAATCACAGGAACATATGTGTGGATTCGTCTAAGTCTTGTTTTTCCTATTAAGTAAATAGCCTGCTATTTCCGGAACATTAATATTTGAACCTATTGAAAAATTTACTTTTGGGGGGGTCCAGATTTTTTTCTTTACATTTTCTTGTTGTTATGTTAATCACCATACATTACATCATTAGTTTTTGATGTAGTGTTCTATGATTCATTGTGTATAACACCCAGTGCTCCACGCAGAACGTGCCCTCTTTTAATACCCATCACCAGGCTAACCCCTCCCCCCACCCTTGGGTCCAGATTTTATGTGTTTTATGGTGTTGATGCCATGATGACTTTGAAGAGCTCCAGAAGTACCAGGCAAAAAGTTGCCTTGATTCACTTTACATTTATCCTATTTACATAATCTTTTTATTTACGAGTGATTAGGTGCTCAGAAAAGATCACTTGTGACATTTATGCTGATAAAACAAACTTTTTTTTCCCCACACATCCAATTTCTAAATTTATGGTGAACCAAATTGCTTGTGTTGGCTGATAAGTACATCGTCTTCCACACAGAAAAACTGAATTTAGGTAAAATATTATAGACTTAATATAATATAGATATCTCTCCTTTTGCTAAAGTGCTTAAAAGCCACATGGCTGTCCTTAGGATAAAATGGAAACACTATCAACATGAGGTCTGAAGAATGAATAGTGAAATGCAAGGGAAGGAAACGGGTCTGGGGAGAGCATGTCAAAAGCCTGGGAGTGGGATATAGAAATTCAGTTACACAAGATAGAGTTCTGGAAAGGGAATAGAGAAATCTGAAGTTGGAGCACTAAGCTGAGGCTCTAACTTGAGGGGCCTTTTAAACCTTGTCAGTAAGTCAGGATATTACAATAGGATGGGAATTCATCCTATAGGTACCTTGCAGCAGTAACTATTAAACTGAATTATAACTGTTTGTTTAATGGTCACCTACCCTAGCTGGTGATCTGAGCACTGCTCATTTCTCCTGCCATTCTTTTCTACTCTGTAGCTGCTGCCCTCCCTCTGCTGCCCAATAGCAGTGCGCACACACACACACCTGCTCCAACCATCCTGAAGTTCTGCCATGCACTGTTACCCCATGGTCTTTTTTCACCACCATTATTAAACCCTTTCCCTCTTCTGGCTAAATATTCATCCTGCCTCAGATCTCAACCTCAACCTCGCTTTGTTTCAGACTTCCTTCTCCGGTGTCTAGACTAGGTTAGGTGGGCCTGCTATGAATGTGTGATCCTGTAGTCTGTGTATATCTCACATCATACTTACTTTGATGTCCTGTTTAATTTTAGCTTCCCTCAGACTCAGGTTGCTTGAGAGCAGGAACTCTGTCTTGTTTACTGGTATATCCCTAGTGTACCTGGCACACGGACCCTAAAAAATGCCAATACTGAGAATGAGTCCATGTTCTAGGAGCATGAGGGGTGATTTCTCCCCTTGGAAATTTTAAGTCCTTAAACTTCTGTTATCTCTGATCTTCATCTAAATCATTCTTTCTAATGACTATTTTTTTTTTAGTCTGTGACCTGCATCAAATTGGATTCCCTTGTCTTTCCTCACAATTTCCCACATCTGTTAGTGTGGAGAAAGGATTAACACTGGGGAGTAGGGAAGAAAGATTAAGAAATAGAGGTGCTTGGAAATGGGCTAACTTAAGTGGGTGGGGGTGCCTCCCCTTGCACTTTAAAAAAGTCAAGAAACCCTTCAGGCTGAACTTTCCCATTTTGCCTGTCATGCCAGATGGAAGTCACAAAAAATAAGCATTTTTTTCCTCTACAAGCTAGTTTATTGTATTATGAATATATATACGAAAATGCTATTCTATTAACTTAATGTAAATTAGTCCTACTTCAGTTCTGCTATAGAGAGGCAGGGTTGATAGTGGAAAGAGAAAAGAATATGATATCAGAAGATACAGGATTTTGTCTGGCTCTGCCATTTCTGAACTGCATGGCTTCTACCTTTTTGATACTTAGTTTTCTAATCTACATTCGAGCCTTGAACAACATGGGTTTGAACTGCATGCCCATGGATTTTCTTTTTTCCAATAATTACCACACAGTACTGCAAATGTATTTTCTTTTTCTTAAGATTTTATTCTTTTCTCTAGTTTACTTTATTGTAAGAATACAGCATAAGGTACATATAACTTAGAAAATATGTGTTAATCAGCCATTTAATCTTATCAGCAAGGCTTCTGATCAACAGTAGGCTATTAAGTTTTGGGGGAGTAAAAGTTCTATGCAGATTTTCAATCTTAGACCCCACATAGTTCAAGGGTCAACTATAATTATTTGCATAATTACAGTTTGTCACAAAATTATGTGAATCAAATATGATGCCTGTGAAAATGTAGAGTATAGGTTCTTTGCAGATGAGTGAATTTTTTATTAAAATTATCCCTTAACCACTCTGTATGTTCTCTGATTGATCAGGGATAACTTAGTCTTCATTAGGAAATTTTTTCCTGAAATCTGATGTCTCCATTTTATCTCCACAGTATTGAATATTGGTAAAAAACTCTATGAGGGTAAAACAAAAGAAGTCTATGAATTGCCAGATAGTCCAGGAAAAGTCCTCCTGCAGTCCAAGGACCAGATAACAGCAGGAAATGCAGCCAGAAAGAATCACCTGGAAGGAAAAGCTGCAATCTCAAATAAAACTACCAGTTGTATTTTTCAGTTGTTAAAGGAAGCAGGTAAGTGGCTTTCCCGATAGCCTCCCCTTTCACATTCTCTCTGTCACACACATACTGGTCCTTTCATGGGGAAATGGCATTATTTGGATTAACAACATGTTGACTATCAGTTAAATTTTTTAATTGTTATCGGGAAACAGGTAAGTGGCTCCCCGCACAATCTCCTCCCTTTTGAATATTGCCACACACACACCCAGGGCACACTCTGATCTCTTTAATGGGGAGATGACATTTGGATTAAGAACATGTTGTTTGGCAATGTCTCAAAAGGTAAGGTTACTTAAATCAAACCAGGAACTCTTAAATTTCACTACAGCACTTAATTTGGAATTAGTAAGTTCTATCATTTAGTTAAGGGATCTTAACAGTTTGATGCAGTCTTTGTCTGGCATGCCTATCTCCTCTGTAACTTTTCTCGCCTAGGAAGATGTCCTAGGAGAGACTTACCTATGAAGGAGTCCTGTTCTGGTATTAGGCAGCTCTAATTGAAGAGTTGAAATTTGGTACCTGCAGTTCTATATAGTTATTCATTGCTCTGTCCCTTGGAGATAAGACAGAATTTCAAATCCCTTTTCCACTTGAAAGCCTGGAAAGTATTTGAAGATTGCCACCACACCTTCTTATTCTGCCTCAAGTGAGGGATTTGAACTAGATCAAAGATCTCCAGGGTTACCCCCTACTCTAAAACTGAAAGAAGACTATTTCCCATAGAGACATTTATTCAAAAAGACTAGATCAGAACATTCTGTAGAGGGCATTTGGAGTAAAGAAAGGGGAATTAAGATAATGGGCTTTTCTGCAGGGATTCAGTCAATGCTGATTTGTCTGTAGTATATGAAATCTCAGCTAATAAAAGATTTGAGCTCTTTTCCTCCAGTGTAAGAAACCTCATTGCCTTGCATCACTCAACCTTTGAGGCCTCTGGTTCCTTAAGCTTTGTTTTTTACTATCCCAGTTCTAATTTTATAATTTAATAATTTTGTCTCCTTTTACTACCCAGTTGCCTTTTCATTTCTTAGAGCTTCCAGTAAGCATTACAGGAATACCCTGTTTTATTGCACTTTGCTTTATTGTGTTTCATGGATATTGCCTTTTTTTTTTGTACAAATTAAAGGTTTGTGGCAACCCTGCCCCTGCATTGAACAAGTCTATTGGTGCCATTTTTCCAACAACATTTGTTCTCTTCATGTTGCTGTCACATTTTGGCAAGTCTATCAATATTTCCAACTTCTCGTTATTTTATTTGTTATGGTGAACTATGATCAGTGATCACAACTTGCTGAAAGCCCAGATGATAGTGTTTTTTAGCAATAAAGTATTTTTTAACTAAAGTTTTTTAGACATCATGCCATCACACACTTAATAGACCACAGTATCGTGTAAATATAACTTTTATGTGCACTGGGAAACCAAAAAGTTCATTTGATTTGCTTTATTGTGGTGGCATGGAACCGAACCTGCAATATCTTCAAGGTATGTCCATAATGTCTTAAATCAATCTTCTAAATCTAAAGGGGGATTTAATACCTTTGTTTCCAGTCAGGATAGATGTACCTACCTTCCACAAAATAACAAGGTAATTCAAATTAAATCAATTCTGTCAGTACAGAATGGGTTCTTGAATAGTTTTGCCTCTTTTCTAGTTTTCTATTGAACACTTTTAAGGTAGTGTGGAGAAAAAAATGTTTGCCAGCCTAATTTGTCATCTACATCATAAATCCCTCTATATGTTGAAAGTGAGTATGTTGTGATAAATTTAAAGGACCACCCACAGTTCCTAAGTAATATGATTTTAGGATTTTTATTTCAAGGCTTCCTTGATAGGTGGTTTCTCAGTGACTGAGTTGATTGCTGTAGAGAGCGTCAAACTAATTTAAGTTCCTATTGCAGTTCAGATAAGTGATCCATTTTTAACTTGCCAAGTTATCTCATTCTCCCTATACATACTAAAATTTTTAAAAAGTTGCTTAATACTATTTTTATTAGTATTTATTAGTATTTATTAAATATATATTTTTATTTTTTTAACAATAAAAAAAATAAGCTCCTGTGTACCCATAGTAGTTATACATAGCTACGGGGCCTTATTTATTTATTTATTTATTTATTTATTTTCAAATAATGGAAGATAAGTACAGACCCAAGTTTTTATTTTCTTACTCAGTAAGGGACTATTCAGTGCATTTTGTGGGTTTAACGAAAAGTGAGTTAAAGTGACCCAAATTGTCTCTGTTTGTCCAGGACTTTCCAGTTTGGACCTTAAAGTCCTGAGTCTGAGAAAGCTGGGAAAGTTCGCAATCCTAAAAGAAGTACTCCAACAATTATCTTTAAACTACTGTATTGGCGGGGCGCCTGGTGGCTCAGTCATTAAGTGTCTGCCTTTGGCTCAGGTCATGATCCCAGGGTCCTGGGATCAAGCCCCGCATCGGGTTCCTGGTCAGCAGGAAGCCTGCTTCTCCCTCTCCAACTCCCCCTGCTTGTGTTCCCTCTCACTGTCTCTCTCTCTCTGTCAAATAAATAAAATCTTTAAAAAAACCAAATACTGTATTGGCACACTTAACATAACTAAAACTTACTTGGTTCACAGGAAATGTTGAAAGATGTTTTTCAGGTTTTATACACTGAAATTAAGGAAAACTTATAAGTTTTAAAAAATTCTTAGATTTGTTTTAGAGGACAGATTAGGAGTTCCGTTGCCTTATCTAATTTTTACTTGCTGATAGTTAAATCAATGCCATGTCTAGTTGACCACCAGTGATTATTTAAAATTGCTTTTATAACCAAGGCTATGTTCCTAATTAAGGTATTTCTAGAAGTTAGAATGGGAAGAGCACCAAATGAGATTTTATAAATCAGGATTCTGATTTTCTCACTGTCAGTCACAAGCAAACTATAAAATACTGTACAAATAATAGGTATAAGTAATACTGTTTTTCCATGGAAATAATATTATACATGCTACACCTGAGTTATGAATTGTGTGGATTTGGTCTCAATACTTAACCTTTTAAGTCTCAGTTCTCTCACAGAAACCTACCGTAATTACATTTAGGTGTTAAGAGTGATAATGGGTATAAGTCCTGCAGTTGTTAAACCACAGATGAGGAGCTGGGCTACCTTAATACATGGGTGGCCCAAGGGCTATGTGGGCTGATTAGCTGTCACACACTGCTGTTGTAATTCAGAGTATGAAGTGACATTTCCTTAGTAATCTTCATAGGAGTCTTAAATTCTGTAAACAGTGAGACATGGGGAGAGTTGTTTTGCTTATCCCCCCAGTCATGAAATTTGCTAAGATGATTAGCATGTATATTAGAAGCAATCATTATATCAACTAAACTGAATCTTTTTTTTTTTTTGAAGCAGTTCTTTTTTCCTGTACTAGGTCATTACCGTAAATTGATTCTGTACTTTTGGTTCCCTTAGATGTGAGGAAGAGTTTTCCTCTGAGTAAAAGTAACTATTGTTTATATTTAAACAATAGATTGGGATACTAGTCTTTCAAGCTTGGTAGACAAGTGAGCACATATGTCTAATAATTAACAGATCTTAAAAGGAACTCTTAAAGCCAGGCATGTAGTTACCACCTGTAGTTAAGGATTGATTTAAATGATTTGCCTATCCATGAACATGAGCCCAGTCATTATTTAAAGGTTAAAATGACCATTTACTTAAACTCTTATTCTTTCCCAGAGTTCCTGTTCATGTAGCATATCACAATTTCCTGAATCTTACTGGTCAAATCCAGAGGGAGTACAGAGAAAACAATGCAGGTTTTGAAACTGGTCCAAGCACCATTACTGATTGGCAACATGTCCCAGCTTGTCAAATTACTTAACTTCTTTGAGCCTCTGTTTCTTTCACTGTAAAATGTAATGATAACTATCTGAAAAATTTTATGTATGGTTAAATGAGATGTAAAACACTTAGAACAGTGCAGGTCTTACATAAATGTAGATTCCCTTCATGTAGGGTAATATATATGTATGTTTTTATATGGCAGCACAAAATAATCCTGTAGCATTTACATGATTAAAACGTCTCCTGGAAACCTTTATGTGTTAACATAATAATGCTCATCTTCAAGCTGCAGTGTTAATACCTAGAATATCTAGGAGTGGAATTGCTGGATCATATGGTTCATGATATATTATAACTATTATTAGGTTATTTTCCAATGTCCCCAAATAAAATAGCTCTGTCACAAGCTAGCTTTTTATGTTAGTTTTCCAGTAACAGTTTGAGTAAAGTAGAAGGGAAGGGAAGAACAAATGTTTTCTTTGCTCTTGGCCAAATTGGCCGCTATGTTCTTGCTGCTACCTGGATACTTTTTTTCAGGCATTATTTTCTTTAAATATAAAGAAATATAAATATAATTTCTATAAATATAAAGAAATATAAATATAAGAGAAAAGGGCAATCCAAATATAGGTCTGTACCTGATTGTGATAAGTGGATATTTAATACTGGACTGTCAAATATGAGAATTGTATAACCAAATCTAAAGATAATTTAGTACCACTTAGATGAGTTATATGCTTTATGCAAAGTTAGGTAAGCAGTGGCAGGGGAATTTCTCAAAAGTATTTTTTGAATGTATGAATGAATGAATGAATGAATGGTAAAGACAGTGGGACCCAGACTTTCTGATCCACTGTGAAATACTAAATATTTTGATAAGCATTAAGAAAACCATACTAATAATTTTGTTTTCCTACTTCTACTTTTTCAAAAAAGTTAATATACTTTTGATAGTATCACTTAAGGATAACACATTTGGCTAGATAGGGTTTTTGTTTCATTTTGTTTTTTGTAAACAGCAATTTTATTATGCCTCAGATCTAACTTTTTTAATACACTTTTAATGCTTTTTAATACCTTTTTATCAATATGTAGGTATCAAAACTGCTTTCACCAGAAAATGTGGGGAGACAGCTTTCATTGCACCTAAGTGTGAAATGATTCCAATTGAATGGGTTTGTAGAAGAGTAGCAACTGGTTCTTTTCTCAAAAGGAATCCTGGTGTCAAGGAGGGATATAAGTTTTACCCACCTAAAGTGGAACTGTTTTTCAAGGTAATTATTCTGTGCTTCTCTGTCTTACTATAATATAGCAACAAACATAATTTCAAAGTCAAAAGATTTAAATGTTACTAAAGCTAAATAAAATCTTAAAAAATAAATTTAAAAATAAAATTAGCAGTTATTAGGAAGAAAAGTAACAATTCAGAAACTTTATTTTATTTTTTAAAGATTTTATTTATTTGACAGAAAGAGAGAGACAGCGACAGAGGGACCACAAGTAGGGGGAGTGGGAGAGGGAGAAGCAGGCTTCCCACCAAGCAGGGAGCCCGATGCAGGGCTCGATCCCAGGACCCTGGGATCATGACCTGAGCTGAAGGCAGACGTTTAACGAGTGAGCCACCCAGGCGCCCCAACAATTCAGAAACTTTAAGTTTTTAAAGAGTTTGAAGTAAAAGTGAATACAAGGCATCTTTTTATATTCAGATGCAGAAAAACTATTACCAATATCTCATAAGCAAAGACATAAAAAGATGTAGGAATCAGTGGTTATAAATTTGTATTGGTTTTCTTTATTGAAACTGCTTTTTTGGGATGCCTGGGTGCCTCAGTCATTTAAGCATCTGCCTAAGGCTCAGGTCATGATACTGGGTGCTGGGATTGAGTCCTGCATCGGGCTCCTTGCTCAGCGGGGAACCTGCTTCTCCCTCTACCTGCTGTGCCCCTTGCTTGTTGCTCTGTTGTACAAATAAATAAACAAAATCTTTAAAAAAAAAAAAACACTGCTTTTCTCTTTCCCTCTTTGTTTAGCTGTTAAGCATAGTTCTAACGTCAGGAAGCATAGGTCCAATGTCAGGAGTAATGTCTATGTAGCATTTTTATTGTTTCCTTTTTTTTTTTAAGATTTTATTTATTTATTGAGAGAGAAAGAGGGAGATGGCTAGCAAGCATGCAGTGAGAGGAACAAAGCTGGGGCGGGGGAGAGGAGGAGGGAAAGAATCCTAAGCAGACTCCACACTGAGCAGAAAGCCCGACAGGGGGCTCCATCACAACCCTGAGATCATGACCTGAGCCGTAACCAAGAATCTGGACCCTCAACCAACCAAGCCACCCAGGCGCACCTTGTGTAGCTTTTTTTTTTTTAATTTAAAGGTTTTATTTATTTATTTGACAGAGCACACAAGGAGGGGGAGCAGCAGGCAGAGGGAGAGGGAGAAGTAGGCTCCCCACTGAGCAGGGGGCCCTACGCAGGGCTCAGTCCTAGGAACCTGGGACCATGACCTGAGCTGAAGGCAGGTGGTCAGCTGACTGAGCCACCCAGACGTACCTGGTGTAGCGTTTTTAAACAGTGAACTAAAATTGCCTCTCAGCCTTTTGGCCTAGTTCAAATATAATCAGTGAACTGCAAACTTTAAAATGTTTATCTTTTGGTTATAATACAAATCCAGAATTCATAAAAGAAAAATTTCATGTGAAATTGGGACACTACATAAAATGAATAAAAGTATTTTTTCACTAATGTCTTTAAATGAAGTCTCTCGAATTATTAAATAGTATCCCTAAAGACTTATAGTCTTATATAAATTTTTATTAAAAATGAGGTCAAGAGCAGTGCCTGGCTGGCTCAGTCGGCACAGCATGTGACTCTTGATCTCAGGATTGAGTTTGAGCCCATGTTGGGCGTAGAGATTATTTAAAAATCTTTAAAAAAAAGGTGGGGGTGCCTGGGTGGCTCAGTCATTAAGTGTCTGCCTTTGGCTCAGGTCATGATCCCAGGGTTCTGGGATCGAGCCCCGCTTCAGGCTCTCTGCTCAGCGGGAAGCCTGCTTCTCCCTCTCCCACTCCCCTGCTTGTGTTCCCTCTCTCGCTGTGTCTCTCTCTGTCAAATAAATAAATAAAATATTTAAAAAAAAAAAAAAAGGGTGCCTGGGTGCCTCAGTTGGTTAAGCATCTCCCTTTGGCCCAGGTCATGATCCTGGGGTCCTGAGATCAAGCCCTATATCGGGCTCTCTGCTCAACGGGGAGCCTGCTTCTCCTCTCCCTCTGCCTGCCCCTCTGTCTGCCACTCTGCCTACTTGTGCTCTCTATCAAATAAATAAATAAAAACCTTTAAAAAAAAAAAAAGGAGGTCAGGAGATTATGAAAACTGCATCCTAGAAAGATTTGGTGGACTAAAGTGTGTTTTGGCCTTCTTACTATTTCTGTTGACTCAGATGAAGAAAAAAAAAAACACACTTTTATTTAAATTAGTTTATAGAGAGAGCAAATTCTTTTAAATTACTTTATCACCTGGAGTAAGTTACTCATTGAATATCTTAAATTTTAAAGTAGCTATTAAAACTAGATAAGTTAAAAATAATTGTGAGTTAAAGGGCATTTCAATGAAAAATTAAGTCTTTAGAGAAAATAAATATTTCTGAGGAATTCATGGTCAAGGAAAAAAGGACTTCAGTTTATCTCAAAAAATCAAAATTTTTATTTTTAAAATAATTGTACTCCTATACTTTATTTTCAGGATGATGCCAATAACGATCCACAGTGGTCTGAGGAACAGCTAATTGCTGCAAAATTTTGCTTTGCTGGACTTGTTATAGGCCAGACTGAAGTAGATATCATGAGTCATGCTACACAGGCTATTTTTGAAATACTGGAGAAATCCTGGTTGCCCCAGAACTGTACGCTGGTTGATATGAAGGTACAAATAAAATGGAGATTTGATAATAAAGATTATAACTGAGAAATGTCTTTAGTTGTAGAGTTTTGAAAACTTTCCTTTGGTGATATGCTATTTCTAGATTGAATTTGGTGTTGATGTAACCACCAAAGAAATTGTTCTTGCTGATGTTATTGATAATGATTCCTGGAGACTCTGGCCATCAGGAGATCGAAGCCAACAGAAGGATAAACAGGTAATGCCTTGATTTTTTTTTATCCTTTTCAAGATCAGGTGAGATAGAGGTGAGTAGGAAGATGGGAGGAAAAGAAAAGGCTACTATTGTTCCATATGGTAAGAACCAGAGTTGATTGCTGTTTACTTTTAAAGATAAGTATCTCTTACATTTCCTATATCCTGAAAAAAAATAATAGGAACAGTACCTTGTATTTTCAAAATAGCTTATTCATTTATTATGACTGTCACACAGAGCAAGTGTCATCCTTGTTTGACCAATTGAAAACTAAGGTGCTGAGAGGATGGTATCTTCATAATTACAAGAATAAGGGCAGATCTGGAACTCTATCCCAAGTGTTCTGGATCTTACCAGGTTCCATTTCTGCTCTGTCCTATAAAAAGCAAAATTAGGGCAGATGCTCTCTACTTAATACATAAGAATTGTCAGGGCAGTTAATTGTAGTTGCTAGTGTAGAAAGCACTTAAGCTTAAATGAATATACAAGTGTACTTCACTATCTGAACTTTCTCTGGTCTAATTCAGGAAATGAATTTATAGGTTCGGGTACATTTTCAGATATATTCCTTGCTATGCAAGCTTTTCATAGTCTACCCAAAATTCAGAAATTAAATAATTTCAGTTAGCAAGAATATTACTAATAGAATATCTGTATTCTAAACTTTCTATCTTATTTTCTAGTCCTATCGTGACCTCAAGGAAGTAACTCCCGAAGCGCTCCAGATGGTGAAGAAAAATTTTGAGTGGGTTGCAGAAAGAGTGGAGGTAAAACTTTTGTAGTAAACCCATGCTGTTCTGTGTTTTTCTACAAGAAAATCTTGCTTCAAAAAGGAAAATAGGGGCATCTAGGTGCCTCAGTCAGTTGAGCATCCGGCTCTCGATTTTAGCTCCAGTCAGGATCTCAGTATCTCAGGATCATGGAGTTGAACCCCACATTGGGCTCTCCATTCACTACAGAGTCTGCTTGGGATTCTTTCTCCCTCCCTCTGCCCCTCCCCCTGCTTGCATGTCCTTTAAATAAATAAATAAATAAATAAAACCTTTTTTCAAAAAAAGGAAAATAAAAGTGAGAAGGTGCAGTTATTTCTTTTCTCCAGTTTTTTTTTTTTTAATATTTATTATTTTAGAAAGAGTGTGTGTGTTTGTGTGTGCGCGCTTGTGCGCAGGTGGGGGGAGGAGCAGAGGGAGAGAGATAATCCTGAAGGAGACTCTCCACTGAACGCAGGGTCTGACGCAGGGCTCTGTCTCAGGACCCCAAGATCATGACCTGAGCTAAAATGAGGAGTCATCCACTCAACCAGCGAAGCCCCCCAGTGGTTTAAGAAAAAAAAAAAAAAGGAACGCCCTTAAGAAATGTACCACCTGAACTATCCTCAGTGACATACTGAAACCCCCTGTTGTTAAACTGGCCAGTATACTCCCAAATTCTGTTGGGGAAACCTAGAGTCCTTGTCTTCTCCTTGTCCCTTACATTTCCTACCCATCTCTCCACTGCTACTCAGAGTTGCATTAGCATAGGTTCCATAAGTAGAGTTCAGAATTAGAACTCCATGTGACATTAAAGTGTCACTTTAAGATTTATGGTATTATTGGGGTGCCTGGGTGGTTCAGTCACCACATTAAGCATCCAACTCTTGATTTTTGGCTCAGGTCATGATCTCAGGGTCCTGGGATCAAGCCCTGCATCAGGCTGTGCACTCAGTGGGGAGTATGCTTGAGATTCTCTCTCCCTTTCCCTTTGCCCCTCTCCCTGCTCCCCTGTGCTCTCTCCCTCCCTCCCTCTCTCTCTCAAATCTTTTAGATTTATGGTATTATTGTTACTATAATCCTGTAGAAATTAAATGGGATTTGTGATTATTCAAGGGTCATAGCCAGTTTTCAGAACATCATTTCCTTGGGAACATGCATTTTGAATTCTGAGTAACTGACTTAAGGTTTATAATATCTCTTTATTTTGGCTGATTATGCCTTAAAATCTCCATTAAACACAATGGACTAAAATCTTAGGATGAAATATTTTATATTACAGCTTCCTGAATATTAATTAGAAGGGTTGAGTATCTTTGCTTTTTATTATAATAGTAAATATAATTTCTCTGATTAAAAATTTCTTTAGGTGTTAATTATGAAGATCACTTTTCTTTATATACAGAGGTTATTTTGAAAAATAAATTACATTTTGTCCTGTTTGTCTTGAATTTGGTCTATTAAGAAAGTATTCTGTCCAGTTGTAATTTTACTCTGCTATAGCTTTGTAAACTGATTATTCTTATGATACTCAATTCTATATTTATCCAGTTTTTGCCATTTTCTTTTTCATATCCATGTTTTTCTTTTCCAGTTGCTTCTGAAATCAGAAAGTCAGTGCAGAGTTGTAATATTGATGGGCTCAACTTCTGATCTCAGTCACTGTGAAAAAATCAAGAAGGCTTGTGGAAATTTTGGCATTCCATGTGAACTTCGGGTAACATCTGCCCATAAAGGACCAGATGAAACTCTGAGGATTAAAGCAGAGTATGAAGGTAAATGTCACATAACTAGAGCATTTCAGGAAATTCTCCTGATTTTGCCAAAAAATTTTAGGTTTGGACTAATAATGCTGAAAAAGAATTTGCCACATTTCCAAGAGGGAAAATGTGATAATCTAGGCTTTCATTATACTGCCAAAGAGTATAAGATGCTCTAGGCACTTATAAAAGAATGGCTTGGGGAAAAAGAATTGAAAATGCAAAATGGGTACACTTGAAAATAATGCAACATTGTGTGTCAACAGCATTCAAGTTTTTTTAAAAATGTTAAAAATAAATAAATTAGAGGCCCCCACCCCCCAAAAGAAAGTGAAACATGGAAGGAAAATAAAGACTAGAATGCGTTTTTACCTAATAAGAAGCCCCTGAAGTACTGTTTCTAATATGCTCCAGCGGAAGATAGGCCCCACATCAATTTTGGGAGTCCTGAGGTTGAAGCAGCAGATTCTTTGAGTATTGTTAGTGGTCAGCCTTTCTTAGGAGGTATTTGAATGTGAAATTAAGGAACAATTTTAGAATTTAGTATATAAAAGAAATGTCTTGATGGGATAGTATTGATCTAAAATAATGGAGTCCTGGAGACATAACCAAATGTTTCTCAACTGGGAAAAATGTTGATTTGAGTTTTCTTTCTAAAGGTAGTTGTTACAGGAGCGTAGTTATTAAGGTTTGGGCCGGGGATGGGGGGAGGGGGCAGGGAACTAGAATAAGTTCCTAGACCTTTGTTAAACTTATGAAAGCCTGAACTCTTTCTCCAGAAAAGTGCAAATACATAAAATTTTGGATTCCAGGTTAGGAATCTCTGTGGTAAGAAACAAAGGAATAACTTGAAAATTTATCAAAGAATGAAATATTTAAGAGATATGTTGAAAAATATATTGAAGGGTAATAAATATTTGGGTACTGTATTTGCCTTCCTTCATTCATAATGTGCCCCTGAACCTCTAGTCTCCATTAACAAGGTCTCCTTATACCCTGTTGTTTGAAGGACCCCAGGACAGACACTGGTTCCGGTGGTGTCATTCTTTGTTTTGGTGAGCCTAAGCAGCCATAGTAGAAGGGCCTTTGAGCCATTCCCTCACTAATACTCTGGTACCCTTTTTATACTATCGATCTCAAAGATGGCCAAACTTATTCTTGCTACTTTGTTACTTGAGATATAATAGGTAGTGAAGTGTGACATATACTGAATATATATGTAATAATAGTGTCTTATTTATGCTTTTTCTGGAGCCTGCAAATAAAGGAACTGAAGGAGTTAAGACACATAGGCATTTTGTTTTAACCTATCTTAAAATCTCCTTTCAATTCAATTACAAATATGTAATTTCCCTAGGGGATGGCATTCCTACTGTATTTGTGGCAGTGGCAGGCAGAAGCAATGGTTTAGGACCAGTGATGTCTGGTAACACTGCATACCCAGTTATCAGCTGCCCTCCACTCACTCCAGACTGGGGAGCTCAGGATGTGTGGTCTTCTCTTCGACTACCCAGTGGTAAGATACATGAGTTTTAAAAAGTTGTTTATTAAAGGGGCACATGGGTGGCTCAGTCAGTTAAACATCTCACTCTTGATTTTGGCTCAAGTCATAATCTCAGGGTTGTGAGATCACGCTCCATGTCGGGCTCCGTGAAGAGAGCCCGCATGAGATTCTCTCTCTCCCTCTCCTTTTGCCCTCCCCCCTGCTCGGGCTGGCTTTCTGTCTCCAAAAAAAAAAAAAAAATTTTATTGAAAAACTTCAAACATGCACAATAGTAGAGAGAATAACATGAAATCTCATGTACCCATTATTCAACTTTGACATTTAATATCTTATTACATCTGTAGCCCTTTCTGCTGGATTATTTTCAAGCAAACATAGCATTTTATACTTAAATATGCTTCTCTAAGCAATAAGAACTCTAGTTTTTATTATTTTATTCTATTTTTTAAAGATTTTATTTGTTTGTCGAGAGAGAGCATAAGCAGGGGGAACGGCAGGCAGAGCAGGCAAGAAGGAGAAGCAGGCTCCCCACTGAGCAGAGAGCCCAATGTGGGACTTGATCCCAGGACCTCAGGATCATGACCTGAGCCCAAGGCAGATGTTTAACCGACTGAGCCACCCAGGCGTGCCAGAACTCTAGTTTTTAAATCATGATCATGGCGGTGCCTGGGTGGCTCAGTTGGTTAAGCATCTGCCTTCAGCTCAGGTCATGATCCCAGGGTCCTGGGATTAAACCCCACATCAGGCTCCTGGCTCAGGAGCTTCTCCCTTTCCCTCTGCTGTTCCCCCCACTTGGGTTCTCACTCATGCTCTCAAATAAATCATTTTTAAAAAAAATCATAGTCAGGATACCATAATCACACTTAAGAAAAATTGATGGGTAATTTCTTAAAATCATCTAATTTTCAGTTAGTGTTCAAGCTTTCCTGATCATCTCATTTGTTTTTACAGTTGGTTTGCTCAAATCAAGATCTAACACAGTCCTTATATTGCATTTAATTGCTCTCTCTCCTAAGTCTCTTTTAATCCTTCTTTTTTCACTTTTGTTTATCCTAAAGAATTTTCCACATTTTGGTTTGGCTGATTATATTTCTGTATGATGTTTAACATGCTCTTCCTATATTTTTTATAAACTGGTGGTGAGATCTGTAGCTAGATCAAGTCCAGATTTGGGATCCCCCCCCCCAAATACATCATTCATGGTTTTGAAGGGTTTTTTTAAGTTTTTTTATTAACATATAATGTATTATTTGGTTCAGGGGTACAGGTCTGTGATTCATCAGTCTTACACAATTCACAGCGCTCACCATAGTACATACCCTCCCAAATGTCCATCACCCAGCCACCCCATCCCTCCCAACCCCCTCCACTCCAGCAACCCTCAGTTTGTTTCCTGAGATTGAGTCTCTTATGGTTTGTCTCCCCCTCTGATTTCATCTTGTTTCATTTTTCCCTCTGTTCCCCTATGATCCTCTGTATTGCTTCTCAAATTCCTCCTATCAGTAAGATCATATGATACTTGTCTTTCTCTGATTGACTTATTTCGCTTAGCATAATACCTTCTATTTCCATCCACATCATTGCAAATGGCAAAATTTCATTTTTTTCTGATGGCTGCCTAATATTCCTGTGTGTGTGTGTGTGTGTGTGTGTGTGTGTGTGTGTGTGTGTACACCACATCTTTACCCATTCATCTGCTGTTGGACATCAAGGTTCTTTCCGTAGTTTGGATATTGTGGACATTGCTGCTATAAACATTGGGGTGCAGGTGTGCATTCGGATCACTACATTTGTATCTTTGGGGTAAATACCCAATAGTACAATTGCTGGGTCGTAGGTTAGCTCTATCTTCAACTTTCTGAGGAACCTCCATACTGTTTTCCAGAGTGGCTGCACCAGCTTGCATTCCCACCAACAGTGTAGGAGCGTTCCCCTTTCTCCGCATCCTCACTAACATCTGTTGTTTCCTGACTTTTTAATTTTAGCCATTCTGACTGGTATGAGGTGTGTATCTCATTGAGGTTTTGATTTGTATTTCCCTGATACCAAATGATGTTGAGCACTTTTTCATGTGTCTGTTGGCCATTTGGATGTCTTCTTTGCAGAAATGTCTGTTCATCTGCCCATTTCTTGATTGGATTTTTTGTTCTTTGGTTGTTGAGTTTGATAACTTCTTTATAGATTTTGGATACTAGCCCTTTATCTGATACATCATTTGCAAATATCTTCTCCCATTCTGTTGGTTGTCTTTTGGTTTTGTTGACTGTTTCCTTTGCTGTGCAAAAGCTTCTCTTGATGAAGTCCCATAGTTCATTTTTGCCCTTGCTTCCTTTGCCTTTTCCATGTTTCTAGGAAGAAGTTGCTGTGGCTGAGGTCAAAGAGGTTGCTGCCTGTGTTCTCCTTTAGGATTTTGATGGATTCCTATCTCACATTGAGGTCTTTCATCCATTTTGAGTCTATTTTTGTGTGTAGTATAAGGAAATGGTCCAGTTTCATTCTTCTGCATGTCGCTGTCCAATTTTCCCAACACCATTTGTTGAAGAGACTGTCTTTATTCCATTGGACATTCTTTCCTGCTTTGTTGAAGATGAGTTGACCATAGAGTTGAAGGTCCATTTCTGGGCTCTGTATTCTGTTCCATTGATCTATGTATCTGTTTTTGTGCCAGTACCAGACTGTCATGATGATTACGGCTTTGTTAATAGAGCTTCAGGTCGAGAACTGTGATGCCACTGGCTTTGCTTTGCTTTTCCAACATTCCTTTGGTTATTCGGGGTCTCTTCTGGTTCCATACAAATTTTAGGATTATTTGTTCCATTTATTTGAAAAAAGTTGATGGTATTTTGATGGGGATTGCATTAAATGTGTAGATTGCTCTAGGTAGCATAGACATTTTTGCAATATTTGTTCTTCCCCAGTCCAAGAGCATGGAACGTTTTTCCATTTCTTCGTGTCTTCCTCAATTTCTTTCATGAGTATTCTATAGTTTTCTGAGTACAGATCCTTTGCCTCTTTGGTTAGATTTATTCCTAGGTATCTTATGGTTTTGGGTGCAATTGTAAGTGGGATCGACTCTTTAATTTCTCCTTCTTCTATCTTGTTGTTGGTGTATAGAAATGCACCTGATTTCTGTGCATTGATTTTTTATATCCTGCCACTTTACTGAATTCCTGTATGAGTTCTAGAAGTTTTGGGATGGAGTCTTTTGGGTTTTCCTCATAAAATATCATGATCATCTGCAAAGAATGAGTTTGACTTCTTAGCCGATTCGGATGCCTTTTATTTCTTTTTGTTGTCTGATTGCTGTGGCTAGGACTTTTAGTACTATGTTGAATAGCAGTGGTGATAGTGGACATCCCTGCCATGTTTCTGACCTTAGGGGAAAAACTTTCAGTTTTTCCCCATTGAGGATGATATTCAGTGTGGGTTTTTCATAGATGGCTTTTATGATATTGAGGTGTGTACCCTCTATCCCTACACTGTGAAGAGTTTAAATCAAGAAAGGATGCTGTACTTTGTCAAATGCTTTTTCTGCATCTACTGAGAGGATCATATGGTTCTTGTTATTTCTTTAATTAATGTATTGTATCACATCAATTGATTTGCGGATGTTGAACCAAACTTGCAGCCCAGGGATAAATCCCACTTGGTCGTGGTGAATAATCCTTTTAATGTACTGTTAGATCCTATTGGCCAGTATTTTGATGAGAATTTTTGCATCCATGTTCATCAGGGATATTGGTCTGTAGTTCTCCTTTTTGATGGGGTCTTAGTCTGGTTTGGGGATCAAAGTAATGCTGGCCTCATAAAATGAGTTTGGAAGTTTTCCTTCCATTTCTATTTTTTGTAACAGTTTCAGAAGAATAGGTATTAATTCTTTAAATGTTTGGTAGAATTCCCCTGGGAAGCCATCTGGCCCTGGGCTCTTGTTTGTTGGGAGATTTTTGATGACTGCTTCAATTTCCTTAGTGGTTATGGGTCTCTTCAGGTTTTCTGTTTCTTCCTGGTTCAGTTTTGGTAGTTTATACATCTCTAGGAATGCATGCATTTCTTCCAGATTATCTAATTTGCCGGCAGATAGTTTCTCATAATATGTTCTTATAATTGTATTTCTTTGGTATTGGTTGTGATCTCTCCTCTTTCATTCGTGATTTTATTTATTTGGGTTCTTTCTCTTTTCTTTTTGATAAGTCTGGCCAAGGGTTTATCAGTCTTATTAATTCTTTGAAAGAACCAGCTCCTAGTCTCGTTGATCTATTCTGTTCTTTTGGTTTCTATTTCATTGATTTCTGCTCTGATCTTTATTATTTCTTTTCTCCTGCTGAGTTTAGGCTTTATTTGCTGTTCTTTCTCCAGCTCCTCTAGGTGTAGGGTTAGGTTGTGTATTTGAGACCTTTCTTGTTTCTTGAGAAAGGCTTGTATTGCTGTATACTTTCCTCTTAGGACCACCTTTGCAGCATCCCAAAGATTTTGAATAGTTGTCTTTTTTTTTTTTTTTTGAACAGTTGTGTTTTCATTTTCATTTGCTTCTATGAATTTTTTTAATTCTTCTCTAATTTCCTGGTTGACCCATTCATTCTTTAATAGGATGCTACTTAGCCTCCATGTATTTGAGTTCTTTCCCACTTTCCTCTTCTGATTCAGTTCTAGTTTCAAAGCACTGTGGTCTGAAAATATGCAGCAAATGATTCCAGTCTTTTGGTACTGGTTGAGACCTGATTTATGACTCAGTATGTAATCTGTTCTGGGATATGCTCCTTGTGCACTCAAGAAGAATGTGTATTCTGTTGCTTTAGGATGGAATGCTCTCAATATATCTGTGAAGTCCATCTGGTCCAGTGTGTCATTCAAAGCCCTTGTTTTCTTGTTGATCTTCTGCTTAGATAATCTGTCCATTGCAGTGAATGGGATGTTAAAGTCCCCTACTATTAGTGTATTATTGTCGATGTGTTTCTTTTATTTTGTTATTAATTGGCTTATATAATTGGCTCCTCCCATGTTAGGGGCATAGA